CTTTACAAAAATTGATGAGCATATGTGTCATAACATGCTGAAGAAGCATGCACAGTTTCATGGAGATCGGACCATAGGTGGCGCTATAACTGTTAAAAAGCTTTAAAACCATGTATTTCCAATGGTAAATTGCCAGTATTGGCTGTAAATGGTGTTTTCCATCTCTGATCATATCATAATGTTAAAACCAGTGCAGTACAATTCTCTGGACTCTCTAGATCAATAATTATAACAAAAAGTTGAACTACGTCATGTGGATGACTATAATAGGATGGCTTCAACATTTAGTGTGTTGAAGCCATCTATTACTACACTTTCAGTGTCCCTGAAAGCGTTGATCTCTTCAATAAACAAGTCAGAACACGTGACATTAAATAATCATGAACATTTTCAGACAGATCTGACAAAATATGCCTAAATAACAGTTAAAAAAGGTGAAATGATATCAAAATGATGGTCTATTAAGCCAATAAGTGGTGTTTTACTGCCCTCTGCTGTTCAAAATAGTAAGTGTCTCACTACTCAACTATAATTAATATTATGACTTTATTAATGATCTATTTTAACATTTGCAATCACATTTAGTCAAATATTGATCACAATCGTTTTTTTTTGTCAAAGTTTATCACTTCAGTTGTTCTGAATCTTCACATAATTGCTATTAACGTGGTAAATAGCTATACTATATTCCTAGAATCACATTAAAATCCAATCATCCAAGCCCCAATCACTGTAAATAATGATAAATCATGCTAGAACGTGGTAAATTAATGTACACTATGGTCAGAGGTGTAGTGGTAAAAAAAGAGGTGGGTAAACTATAAATTCTGGTGTATTATTTCGAATAATAAGACACTATGGGCTGTTACTCTAGGGGCTGATCAAATTAAATCATTTACACTGAAAAAACACAATTGCATAAAATAATGTTATGACATTTATTTAAATTTACATAAGAAACTGGGAAAGAATGATACTACTTTTAAACATTTAACACTAAACCGCCAGTAGGTGGTGGCAGGCGACCGTCTTAATGAGTGAGTCATTCAACTCATTCATTCAAACGATTCGTTCAAACGGCTGATCATTCAAGAATGAGACCGATGTTTTTGAATGTGTCTTTGAATCTTTGACTCAATCGATTCGTTCAAAATGCTGAATGATTCAGTAATGAAAACACGTCGAGTGTTCCTGTGACATGTGCCGTGGTTCTGCTGTGTTGTTTGGAACTATTTTCGCTGCTGAAACACAACAAAAACAGCCAATATAGCATCTAAAATGTAAGTGATTTAATTTTTTACTGTTTATTGAACTGTTGTAGGAAATCAATGTCACATTTTCAATCGTGATGGTGTTCAGGAAAAATAAGAGACCCCATTTACACCTGGTATTAAAATGCGATCTGTATCCAGACAAGTTATCCGGATAATAAGTACCGATTCCATTTACACCTGGCCACATACATGTGTTTTTGCAAAACGGATATAAATCCGATCTTAAACTCCCGCGTACGCAGATTTAATGGATTGAACGACACCAAAAGCAACAGATATGAGCTGCATTTCGTTGATCATCAGCTAATTTCCAAATCAAAGACATCAATAAAAGAGTGGAAACACCGCTGGTAAGATAATTTCGTTTCTTTACTTGAAGATGATTGTGTGTTAAGCGTCTGTGACTTACTTTCACTTTTATTTGCGATGTTTGCACGTTGGCTCGATGAATAGACGCTCAGCTGCTCATCTGCGGTGATGGGTGATCCGTGTCGCAGTAGCGCCGTCATATCTGACTATAACATGACATATATAGCCTATATAACAAGCTCACTCGTTTATTTTTTTGCCTTTTTGGGAGGAGTAAAATATACATATGTGGTTTCAACAACCAGATTGCGTTTACACCTAGTAAAGATCCGGACACAATGCGAGCCAGACTACCTCCAGATGTGGTCAGGCAGATCCAATCGCGATCCGATCACAACGCATTTACACCTTGCATTAACATGCGTTTTTTATTATGCGGATAACTTATCTGGATACAGATCGCATTTTAATACCAGGTGTAAATGGGGTCTGAGTGTGTTCTGCGCTCATTTGTGTAGATTTCTGCTCGAGAGGCTGCGCGAGGGTCAACAGTGCAACCTTACCGTCAGTAATAGTCAACAACACAGTAATGTAGCGAAAATATGAAAGAGTTCGTCTTAGGTGCCTGTTGACTTTGGATCAATGCATTGTTTGTGTGTTGTTGCATAAGGAGATAAAGAAATAACACAATTGGTGACAGTGATCAATCAACACAAAAGGAACAATGATATAAATGAACAAAGATATGAGTACTAATCACAATAAAACAGGCAGTAAAAAAAATCATTGAAACAAACAATCTTACAACATGGCTCAGGGCACATGTCTGGCAAACAAATTAATCAATTAGCAGCGCACAGGCTGACAGTGACATTAAATCATAAAAAGGCATAAACAATGTAAACACAATCAAATTAATAGATGGACTCACGTAATTCATGAAGACACACACAGTGTGCCAGGAAAGAGTGCAAAGAATGAGCCAAAGGGTTCACAATCAATTTATAGGCAACAGGTGAGTCGAATGGTGAAGTGGCAGAGTCTCATTGAAAAAGCGAAATGGAGTTGAAAGAGATTAGAAAGGAAATCTTTTCAATTACTATTAATAGTCGTGTGTGTGTGTGTGTGTGTGTGTGTGTGTGTGTGTGTGTGTGTGTGTGTGCGTGTGCATGCATTTGTGTGTAAGCATGCTTTATGAAGTTAACGTGAAAAAAATGGTTTGCTTTAGTGCAGAATATTGGAGAAACAAAGTATTTCAAAATGGAAGTGTGCCAATAAGTGGTCTTCTACTGCCCTCTGCTGGCCACTTTTCTTATTAATAGTCTTTTCACTTGCTATATTGTGGTAAACCATCCTATAACATGGTATATCAAGGTAAACTATGGAAAATCATGTTAGATTCATGGTAAATCATACTAGAACATGGTAAATCATGAAAAATCACATTGAAATATGGTTTATCATGGTAAATAATGCTTGCTACATAAAACTTAATGTATTTTGATGCTTTTGTGCTTAAAGGCCTTAAAGGCCTAAACTGCTTGAACCCCGCAAAATGCTGCTTGCAGCTTTAATTTTATTTTTATTTTCATAATTTCATAATTACTTTGTTCATTGTAATGTCGAGTCACCGCACTATAATAATGGACATGGTCGAAGTGAAGTACAAAAATATTCTACTTAATGGTAATTTTAGGCCTTATAGGCCTACTAGTCTCTTTTAAAAAGGCACTGTTAAATAAATGATTGTCTGTTTATAAAAGCAACCAGGAAAAAGGCTGAGAAAAAACTAATAATGATGCTCCTGACCCTGGCAGAAGAGCTGACCCTTGGGTTGAATGTGAATTGCCCTGTTGTGAAGGGCATCCCTGGGTTCAGTTCTTCCAGACTCACATCAGGGACCAGTAGCAGCAACACCTTCATTACTGGGAAGTGAGATTTAAATTATCTTTGTACACTATGAAATAATGTGTTGCTGCATTAAATGAAGTAGACCTATAATCCAAATTGGCTGGTTTAGTCATTCCAACTGTTAAATCTTGAGTAATGATAAATTGCTTTGTCTTGTGAAAGTAAAAACTGATAACGTATGTTAATGTAAAAAATATTTTGCCATGAGTTATCAATCACATTGCACTGGAGAGTGAAGAAAACTTCTCAGATGACTGTCCTTTGGAGGAAGTACTTTAATTGAATTGATGGCTTTAATTGATTTATACTTGTGCCTATGCCTATTATTTCTGACACACATGTCCACATGTACAGAAAGGCCTACAGAAGAGTCTGCACACAGCAGTGATACTGTGTGCAGAAAGCTCATGTCATTGTGTGCCCTTGTCCTAGAGCTGCATTGTAACTGGTCTGGGGTTTGGGTCAGGGAATAGGGTCATAAAACACCTGTCTCCATGCAGGATCCTGTTGTAATCACCTGTTTAATGGAAAAATGCAGTTCTCAGCATAAGTGTATGTAATACCGTGAGTTTGATAATTATAATTTTCATTACCATGTTCAAATAATGTTCATAAATGTGAATCTCTTAAAATTCCTGAGTCATGCACAGATCCTGGCCATTTTGCTTTCACACTGATTGTGATATAGAACATGGTCACAAACCATCTAAAAGATTTTACTCAGTCAAATGCCTTTTAAAAAAAGTGATATAATATTCCAAATCTGGAATATTAAAAATTGTAATAGTAATTTGGCTGCACTGTATAAGCCCCCTTTCTGCTCACAAAATCCCTTCATTGAGGCCTTGATGGGAACATGTGTGTTGTCTACAGTGTATGGCACCAATCACGTAAGTTAAGCCTGAGGGACTGTAAGTCATAATCGGCATGGTCATCATGATTGCATTATCTTCATTAAAAATTATAATATAGCCTACCCTAAGTTGGCAAAAAAAAAAAAAAAAAAAAAAAAAAAACTAACAGCACTAACGTTACTTTGCGAATGGCATGACAGAAAGCTTCTCCGCATCTCCAATAGTGTAAAGGAAGCCACTCGCAAATAATTTTAGGGCAATGCAAACATTTTGTGCTGTTGTTGAAGCCCGATATCGAATCGAACATTAATGTGCATTTCCAACAAAATAATAATGTATTTAAACGACACCCTCACGACGATCGTTTCACGAGAAAACAAAAATAAATCTCAGAAATTAAGCTACACTATCGCGCTGCGCTGAAGGACTTCCCGTATCAGCCGCGATCTAATCCTGTTTACATGAAATAAGCCTGCTCGCGAGCAGGTTCAAGCTGACGGACCTGTTGCTATGACAGCAAGTCCAGGATGAGCGTCGAAGAACCAAACGATCCAAGATCATGGCAAATCGCCAACAATCAAATCCAGCTAACTGAGTTAGCGACGTACGAAGAACGAGCCCCTGATGTCAGTTTGATGTGTTTATTCCTCAGACTCTGCCCACTGCTGTGGTCCTACTGAAGCTGTGATCCGATTGGTCCTCTCTGCTCTGGTGGGCGTGGCTACTGTCATCATTCTGGTTTATGACATCAGATCCAGAAGAGCTGAACGAGATCAAGCACATATTCACACATCAGGTGCATGATTGATGATGTCATTTCTCACAAACTGATTTGCATATAAGTATCTATGAGATTTATTAATGTGGCTTTTTATGTTCACCTTTTCCAGGAAGTATCGAAATCTAAAGCAGAACGCTGAACTTTAATTTTTCTTCAAGTGTATTTTTTTTGTTCTTCCAGTTTTTTTCTCATAATAAATACTGAATAATTCAGCTTGATTATATTTGAGATTTTTTTTAAAGAAAAATCTTATTTGTAAGACTTTGTTTACTTCTCAAATAAAAAAGCGAATAAAGAGACACAGATCTCACTTTAAACTGCTATATATTTTCTGTATGTATTTTCTTGCCTTTATCAATAAAGTTTCTCACTCTGAGGTTCAAGAGTCTCTCCATGATTTATTCAGAGGAATACAAACTTTATGTATATTTTAAATATTTCAGCAGTGTACCATACGGCTTTATTTGTACTTTTTTCACAGGTGCTTCTTATAGCCTATCTGTAAAACATTTATTTGTATTAAAGGGATATTCCGCCGTTTTTTCATATTAAACTATGTAATTCCCTTAACTAAGACGAGTTGATACATACCTCTGTCGTCTCAGTGCGTGCATTCAATCGCTCTGGCGCGCGAGACACTTTGATAGCATTAGCTTAGCCGTTCATTCAATATGAGCCAAGCAGAGAAGCGATCAAACACCTCCACGTTTTCCTTATTTAAATACAGTTACACGAGTTGAGTAACTCGACCTAGGTCGGTGACACAACATAAAACGTCGCGCTTTTCTAAGCGTGTGAAATGGATAACTAGATTTTATGTCGAAATACCACAGGCTGCTGGCACTGAATTTCAACATGATGCTTCAGTTAGCACTGGCCAGCTGGTGGCGCTGTGTCTATAACTACATTTAGTCATGTAGAGTCTTCAGGCCAGGGCATTATCAAACATGTGAAGTGAGGGAGATTGGATATTACATGCTTGAGTTACAACAACTTCCTGTTTAATGCTGATAATAGCATGCTTTAGCACTGAGCTAAGAACATGAGTTTCAACTAGAGTTTTAAAAGAGTTGTTTTGCATTTTGCTTCATCAAAATATTAAACTCTGAACTTATGAACAAGCATTTTTCATCATATTTCCCCAAAACCAAAACTTTCTGGTACTCTAAATGAACGATTACACTTACAAGTCACTGTATATTTACATTAATGTGCACTAATGAATTTTGTTGTAACAACACAGGCAAACATTATATATGATTTAGTGGCTTTTGAGTCTAAATTAACCCTGCAATGGTTTTTCTCTTTTATTTTATCTGTACTAACATCAGTGTGTCTGGTTTGATCTGTACTAACATCAGTGTGTCTGGTTTGATCTGTACTAACATCAGTGTGTCTGGTTTGATCTGTCGGGGGATAAACAGCTTCTGCTGGATGTTTGTCGTCTCTGTGTGTGTCAGCAGTTTGTGGCTGAAGCGTTTCTTTAACTCCTCTAACAATCATCAACACAAAACATCTTTACACTGAAATAAAGTGAATAAGAGTCACAGGTCAAATATGATTGACAGCTCGCATCACTATATAACACACCAGTAGATACAGATAGGCCTATCTAAGCATATATTTCACTCTTCTGCTGTTAGTTTTGATTCAGGGTCAGAATTCATTTATAAATGTGAGATCAGCAAAATCTCGTTGATGTTCGTGATGTTAAAGGAGACGAGTGTGTGAGCGGAAACTAACTGATGTTGGGGGAGGATTCACACACAACCTGATAAATATCTCAGTTCAGTCTTCCAGATTAATCTGAGTGTTTCAGACATTAAGAGTTACTATCGTGGGCTTTTCAGTGAACACATCAGGTGCATGATTGATGATGTCATTTCTCACAAACTGATTTGCCATATATATTTGTGAGGTTCATTACTTTTTGGCTTTATATATATATTTTTTTATCTTTTCTACTGAAATCTAAAGCAGAACGCTGAACTTTAAAGATTCTTCAAGTGTGTTTTTTGCTCTTCTGGTGTTTTTTTCATAATAAATACTGAATATTTGAGCTTGACGATTTTTGAGGTTTAAAAAACATCTTATTTGTAATGCTTTATTGTTGATATTTCTCTCAGATACAAAAAATAATAATAAAGAGACACAGATCTCACTTTAAACTGCTGTATATTTGCTGTATGTATTTTCTTGCCTTTATCAATAAAGTTTCTCACTCTGAGGTTCAAGAGTCTCTTCATGATTTATTACATTTATTATGTCGAGCGCCTCGTGGAGGAATACTAACTTTATGTAGATATTATTTAACAATATACTGATAGGCCTAATGTTTTTCTATCTACAATAATAAACAAACAACTTCCACCTGAGAAAATACTGATTTGGGACTCATTATAATATACTTTGAGATCACAGTGAAATACATAAACACAACATATCGATCCTCCATTTCCTCCGACAGGGAATGATAAAGTCTTTAAATCGCTAGTGTGATTTGTCTCTGTGGTCTCGTCTGAGGAGCAACTCCTCCATCTAGTGGCTCACCCTGAACTCACATGTTATCAGGAGTTATTCACTCAGATCCAGTGATTGTTACTCAAGAAAGCCACTAGATGGCGCTGTGTTCAGTGTTATGTGACGAATACACTGTGCAACGAGTAATGAAGAATAAAAGCACATGTTGAAGTGTTCAGAGAAAATAAACGGACATGTTGAGACACTTTATTCAAATCACTGAACAAATCATGATATTCGGAGTGAACTATCAGGATATTTTCTCTTTTTCAGACTGTAGTGGGAAATTTCACTACAATGTAGGGGTATGTATTCTGAATATCTTGGACGCCTAGGAAAATGACAGGATCTAAGTCCCCACCCCTAGGACAATTAACTCCTGTACTTATTATAATAAGTATGTTTTAATCTGTCTTGATCAACTGTGTTCTTTAGCAATGACTGATGAGAAGGCGACTCTAGGACTTAAAGTGTACACGGTAGCTTCCCAGAGTATAATAAAATGAATTAACCCCCTTTTCTATTATCAGCCTACAAGACAGGAGGAATGCCCCACTCCAAGAAGACAGAAATGGTAGATGTGTTTATTCTAAATAAAATAAAATAAAAGGAAATGATTGTAAATGCAAAAAATGAACTTTTGTTTCACATCACATACGAATAAAAAAATAAACAATCACAGAATTAAAGCTTAACCTAGCTTCAAGCTTAAGTTCAGTCTCTCTCCTTAATGCAGAAATACTCAAGTCAAACAAAATAAAAAAAACAACAGCTTCAACAGAATATTCAGGTGAGGATTCAGTGCAGTCAGCTGCAGTACATGATGAATATTACATTTCACATCAGATATTTTTTTCTGTCAATCAACATACCTGAGAAATATTCACATCATAACTCAATGTTTACATTTTACCTCACTGGAGAACTGGGCTGGCGTTGGACTGTCCAGGAATGGCAGGGAATTAAATCAGAACAGCTATACAGAACTTGTTCAAAGATAGGAAATCTTTTCCTTATTCACACCCAGAAAGACTAGATTCACGAGAGGTCGGCTAATGTGTGTAAAAGTAAAAAATGCAGTAATTTCATTAATTTACCAGCGAGCGTACTTCGGAAGCACTGAAAATGAATGGGGTTCAATGCTGGAACTATCAGTGGTTGGAACTAATGGGCGGGTCCATGACACGCGTTACTTCCGCATTCCTGAGTTACAATGGCGGTCTATGGGACTGTAAGAAGAACTCTCTCAATGGGCTATATGCACGCATAAATTCCGCATTTGACGCAAGGATGCTCGTCCATTTCCGGTTGTGGAGATTAAAGCGGAGGAGAAGAACAGAGGAAAACGGGATTATGGCAGAGTCTTCAAAATTTACTGTCCTCCAGTCTTTGAAATGAAACGTACATACGTTTAGATGTAATTTTATATATAGTTATATTTATTTAATATTTTAAAAAGAAGCATAAACACAACAAGGGGTGTCTGTTTTATCTGTTTTTGTGACTAACGTTGCTTTCGTATAACCATGGAGTATAAAATTCAATATAAATTCTCGGTATTGCATTGGACTCTACGATCGGCGGAAGTTATCGAGCATCCCTAATGCTTCACCGGAAATACCGCCGTGCATAGAGCCCATACATGGCTCTGGCTTGTACCTCCTCCGTGTTCAATTACGTGCTTCACTGAAGCCCCGCCCACATCACTGACTCTTCACTCGTGGTCTCCTCTGATTGGCGACCGACGCCCGTTGTTGTTTACGAATCTCCACGACACCCTACGTCAAACAGATCGTGGCAAAATCGGGCTAAAATCGTGTAATCTGAACCAGGCATTAGATGACGTGTGACTATGTTCCTTATCACAAATCAATGTGAGGGCAAAATGGCCAGGATCTGTGACATGTGCTGTCGATACATGTCCCCTTTCAAACCAAAGATAACTCAATCCAGCGATACTAATCATAAACAACAGGAGTGTTCGAAGAACCCAATTAGCCGGATCAGGATGAGCATGATGATATTATCTTGGATGAAAAAACACAAATACATGTTATTGCACCCCATAAACACAATCATGCAAAGAAAAAAAGCAGTAAACACACCTTTAATGTCTTTATATAGAGATCTGAAGCTCCAATATAATGTCAGTGTGTGACTGAATCTCAACATTAAGATATTCATCGATGATGTTCATCTCTCGTATCCGATCTATTCTATTCTATTCTATTGTAAATAATTTGAACATTTAATATGATTACAGCAGTATTTCCTGTTCTTGACACAGATATTCAACATCTTGGTGTGATTGTATTAATTGAGCATATTTATTAGAATATGAATCATATGAAGATATCAGAGGACACTTTCATACACAGTTATAACAGACGATCTGTTCCTGATCCTTTAAACCATTAGAGAAACTCTGAGATCAGTCTGAGAGGAGAAACAATCCAGACATTTGATCAGAAATGAAGAACAAACGTCCTGAAGAGAGTTACAGGAGAGAGCAGAGACAAACACTCTCAGGAAATCAAGTCAAGACAAGACACTGTTGACTTACAGGAATTAGAGGCGTACTGGAGCTCAAAGTGTCATTGGTCAGATTGTGAAATAATAATCAGAAACAGAGTTAGACGTCACATGCATTAACACTTACAGATATTTTATCTGATTGTAGAGTTTCTCTTCACTTTACTCTACAGAGCAGCTTCACATCAGCACGTCTGTCATTTTATCAGTTTTGAAGAGTTTGTCTTTTCATATTTGTGGACTGAAACTGATGAAGATGTTTCTCCCTGTTTTGCTCTGCTTGTGTTTCTGGCGTCTGGATGGTGAGTTTAATGTGTTTTTATGACTTCAGTTGTTTCTGTTCTGGTAACATGTAATAAATGTCTGGTTAGTTCAGTCGAGGAGGATCAACATTCACTGTTATTCTCATATAGAAATAATTAAACTGTGATTTTACTGTCAGATCAAGTTTGAATTCAGCTCTAAACTCAGTTATTATGGATTGATTAAAATAATATAAATATGAAGCTCAGATAATCAACAGCATTAGTTTTGGTGACGTTAAACATTACAGTAAAAGTGTATTTTTATATTTACCATATATATATTTCTCTTTTCATTCATCATCTTTTATCTTTGCACTGCTGCAGAATTATTAATTTCACATTTAAAACAAGAGATTTTAAAGCTTTAATCTGTGAAAAACTCTGTTCTTCAGGAGGGTTTGCTGTTGAGTTTGTGTCAGTGTTTGAGGGAGATTCATTCTCTATAAACTCTGATCTCACTGAAATAAAGGATGATGATGTGATTCAGTGGAGGTTTGGAAACACTTTAATAGCAGAAATCAATAAACGGGCCGACAGATTCACTGTATATGATGATGTTCTTGATGGGAGATTCAGAGACAGACTGAAGCTGGACAAACAAACTGGATCTCTGACCATCACAAACATCACAACTAAACATGAAGGAGAATATGAACTACAGATCAGCAGTGTGATCAGAGAGAGTTTCAGTCTCAATGTCTACAGTGAGCCAAATATTTATTTAACTTTTTTTATGTTTTAATCCCCACAAATATACCATAAATAATTTAAACTCTTTTTTTGCTTTTGGAGTTTAATGATGATATTCTCAAATTTAATTTTCTAACTATTTACTTTAATAAACCATCAAGTGATCGTTTTAATTTGTGATGAACCCTGTTTCTGTTTGTTGTGTGTGTGTGTGTGTGTGTGTGTGTGTGTGTGTGTGTTGTGTGTGTGTGTGTGTGTGTGTGTGTGTGTGTGTGTGTGTTCGGTGATTCAGGACTGAAGTCAGTGATGGAGGGAGATTCAGTCTCTCTAAACTCTGACACTGAAATAAAGGATGATGATGAGATTCAGTGGAAGTTTGGAGATGAAGACACTTTAATAGCAAAAATCAATAAACAGTTCGACATCATCACTGTATATGATGTTGTTCTTGATGGGAGATTCAGAAACAGACTGAAGCTGGACAAACAAACTGGATCTCTGACCATCACAAACGCCACAACTGAACATGAAGGACGTTATAGACTACTGATGTCTTCAGGAGGAAGATTATCATCAAAAGTTTTCAGAGTTTCTGTCTATAGTGAGTAGAGATCATTTTTCTTCTCTTTCAAATATTCTTATTTACTTTTTATATAGTAACGGGCAATCATAATAATTAAATCAAATATAAAAGATTTTTTATCACCATCAAATGAAAAAAATTTCAGTATAACATCAACTTCTTCACAGTTAACAGGAATCGCAGCTTTTCTCTGTAAATAATACTGAGTTCTCTGAATATTTGGGTCTCGGGACTCTTCTAAAATAGATGATTTTACAGGATGATTTCTTTGTCTCAGAAGAAACTTTACAAAAAACACAAATACTATTTACATATTGAATTGTTGAATTGTTTATAGTTTGAGATGACAGACCGTATAAAAATCTCACTTGGAACCAAATATATTATTGTTGATTAGATTTGATCATAATTCTGTGTATTCATAAATATTAGTTGATGTCAGCGCTGATATTAGTGTTTATTGACTGATCTGATGTCAGTTTGATGTGTTTATTCCTCAGACTCTGCCCACTGCTGTGGTCCTACTGAAGCTGTGATCCGATTGGTCCTCTCTGCTCTGGTGGGCGTGGCTACTGTCATCATTCTGGTTTGACATCAGATCCAGAAGAGCTGAAGGAGATCAAGCACATATTCACACATCAGGTGCATGATTGATGATGTCATTTCTCGCAAACTGATTTGCATATAAGTATCTGTGAGATTTATTAATGTGGCTTTTTATCTTCACCTTTTCCAGGAAGTATCGAAATCTAAAGCAGAACGCCGAACTTTAATTTTTCTTCAAGTGTATTTTTTTTGTTCTTCTAGTTTTTTTTCTCATAATAAATACAGAATAATTGAGCTTGATTATATTTGAGATTTTTTTAAAGAAAAATCTTATTTGTAAGACTTTGTTTATACTTCTCAAATAAAAAAGTGAATAAAGAGACACAGATCTCACTTTACTGCTATATATTTTCTGTATGTATTTTCTTGCCTTTATCAATAAAGTTTCTCACTCTGAGATTCAAGAGTCTCTCCATGATTTATTCAGAGGAATACAAACTTTATGTATATTTTAAATATTTCAGCAGTGTACCATACAGCTTTATTTGTACTTTTTCACAGGTGCTTCGTATAGCCTATCTGTAAAAATATTTATTTGTATTAAAGGGATACTCCGCCGTTTTTTCATATTAAACTATGTTATTCCCTTAACTAAGACGAGTTGATACATACCTCTGTCGTCTCAGTGCGTGCATTCAATCGCTCTGGCGCGCGAGACACTTTGATAGCATTAGCTTAGCCCAGTTCATTCAATATGAGCCAAGCAGAGAAGCGACCAAACACCTCCACGTTTTCCTTATTTACACGAGTTGAGTAACTTGACCTAGGACGGCGACACAACATAAAACGTCGCGCTTTTCTAAGCGTGTGAAATGGATAACTAGATTTTATGTCGAAATACCACAGGCTGCTGGCACTGAATCAACATGATGCTTCAGTTAGCACTGGCCAGCTGGTGGCGCTGTGTCTATAACTACATTTAGTCATGTAGAGTCTTCTGGCCAGGGCATTATCAAACATGTGAAGTGAGGGAGATTGGATATTACATGCTTGAGTTACAACAACTTCCTGTTTAATGCTGATAATAGCATGCTTTAGCACTTAGCTTAGCACATGAGTTATTTAAAAAAAGAGAGTTATTTTACTCAGATTGATCTAAATATTAAACTCTGAAATTATGAACAAGCATCTCATTAAATTTTCCCAAGACCAAAACTTTCTGGAAACCAAATGATATTTCTCTGAAAAAACTCTGTATTTACATTAATGTGCACTAATGGATTTTGTTGTAAGAACACAGGCAAATATTATACGATTTAGTGGCTTTTGAGTCAACTTAACCCTGCAATGGTTTTTCTCTTTTATTTTATCTGTACTAACATCAGTGTGTCTGGTTTGATCTGTCGGGGGATAAACAGCTTCTGCTGGATGTTTGTCGTCTCTGTGTGTGTCAGCATTTTGTGGCTGAAGCGTTTCTTTAACTCCTCTAACAATCTTCCACTCCACACAAGTGAGTAAGAGTCACAGGTCAAATATGATTGACAGCTCACAGCACTAAATAACACACCAGATATCTAATCTAATCCAATATTTCTAATCCAATATCTCTTCTGCTATTAGTTTTGATTCAGGGCCAGAATTCATTTGTAAATGTGAGATCAGCAAAAGCTCGTTGATGTTCGTGATGTTAAAGGAGACGAGTGTGTGAGCGGAAACTAACTGATGTTGGGGGAGGATTCACACACTGATAAATATCAGTTCAGTCGTGTTTACAGCAAGTGTTTTCAGACATTTTAAGGGTTGCGGTCATGGGTTTTTCAGTGAATCGATAAATAAAATGTTTCTCAAATTAGTTTAGTTCTGTTTGTTGGAAATGTTTTGTAGGAATGTAGGAGGCCTAAACCGGGCGGACATCGAAGATCACATCCCATCCTGTGAGAGAGGAGTCAATGAGACGAACAGCTCGACTGTGACAGTGACGGTGGTGTCGGTCGAGGTAGTCTTGTGACGGCAACACAAGCGTGGGACTCGAGGTGATACCAGGGTCTTCCACAGAGAAAGAGTGTGAAAAAGGATTGTATTTTTTCCCGAAATCTAAGCGTTTTTATTTTTCCGAGGTTTTCCATTCAATCCAGATTATTTCTTTTCAAATAAATAAATAAATAATAATAATTTAAAAAACAATAAACAACAACAGGATTTTCAAGCTGATACGTAGGACTTCCGGATTCTGTGATCTTTGTGCACTGCCACTTCCGTTGAATTCCCGATCTCGCTGGCGAACTGATGAAGGACTACACTAAGTTTATTTATACGGCATCCCTGGTAAATTAGTCTGATTCACTAAAGTGCCGGCTGCAAACAAACGCGCTAACAGGGAACGTTCCCAGAACATTCACTAACGTTCTTTAAAAGTTGTGTAAATGTTAGGACAAAACGTTATTAAAATAATGTTTTCGGAACGTTCATATAACATTATTAACGTTCTTGTAACGTTGAGAGAAAACGTTCTTAGAACAACGTTCTTGGAACGTCTTTATCACGTTATTTGTATTTGATGAACGTTCTCATTACGTTGATAAAAAACGTTCTTAGAACAACGTTATCGGAACGTCTTTATCAGGTTATTTGTGTTTGATAAACGTTCTCATAACGTTCCAGCAACATTATGCTAACCTTAGGATAACGTTCTAACAACATTATGCTAACGTTCCGGCAACGTTCTGCAAACATTAAGACACCGTTCCAGCAACGTTAAGCAAACTGGACATTTCCACGTTTTTAGAACATTTTAAATTAACGTTCCCACAACCAAAATGGAACGTTAGAAAAACGTTCTCAGAACCTAACTTTGTTAGCTGGGTTAAAGTTTTAATCCACTTCTTCCTTATACTCAATTCAGTCGGGAATCCATGAAAACTTAAGTAGGGTTGGCGTTGTTGGTTAGATTTACAAAGTGGAACAGAGCAGTGACATAAATAGCATTGGTCTCAGCCATTGTTGAACTGCGTCGGAAGTGGACATGCACAAAGTTGACAAATCCCGCCCATGAAACCCGGAAGCGTGATAATCCCCTATATGAGGAACTCTTTTGCTCATTTGTCTCATCTCTGACATTTTGCAATCTTTATAAATAATAATTTTCTTTAGCCCTTTTTTCAGGTCAGAGCATCAAAATCTCAAAATTTCCTGATTCTGACACCAAATTGTTGTGGCAAAAATCCTGTCAAACATCATCACTGCATAAGAGACACTCATAAGAGTCAAATTAATAAAGAAAGAGAAGTATTTATTCTTGCAAGAATAGGCCCAGTCGCCAACACTGTCTATTCTTGGGTCTGGTGGTGCTGGGATTGTGACACGTTGTGGCTGAGTTCGCTTTCAGGTGCGCTGATATTTGCACTAAGTCTTCATCACTTGAGTTGGGGGTATTTATTACTTTATGTTCAGCAGTAACAACATGTTAGCAGGTGTGTGAATATCTCTTCTGCTATTAGTTTTGATTCAGGGTCAGAATTCATTTGTAAATGTGAAATCAGCAAAATCTTGTTGATGTTCGTGATGTTAAAGGAGACGAGTGTGTGAGCGGAAACTAACTGATGTTGGGGGAGGATTCACACACAACCTGATAAATATCTCAGTTCAGTCGTGTTTCAGGTCAATCTGAGTGTTTCAGACATTAAGAGTTACTATCGTGGGCTTTTCAGTGAACCGATGAAGAAGATGTTTCTCAAATTAGTTTTGCTCTGTTTGTGTTTGTGGCGTCTGGATGGTGAGTTTAAATGTGTTTTCATGACTTCAGTTGTTTCTGTTCTGATGTGATAAATTACTGGTTAAATTAGTCAGAAAGGATTAACATTCACTGTTATTCTCATTTAAATTATATTATTAATATTATCATGAAATAATTATTTTTTCAAGTCACTTTTCAATTATCATCTTTTGTCTTTGAACTGCTGCAGAATATTATTAATTTTACATTTAAATGATTAAAGTATTTTAGCGAAGCTTCATCAAACCAACATCAAGAGATTTTAAAGATTTAATCTGTGAAAAACTCTGTTCTTCAGGAGGGGTTGCTGATGAGTTTGTGTTTGAGGGAGATTCAGTCTCTCTAGACTCTGACACTGAAATAAAGGATGATGATGTGATTCAGTGGAGGTTTGGAGATGAAGACACTTTAATAGCAGAAATCAATGTAACGGCCGACAGATTCACTGTATATGATGATGTTCTTGATGGGAGATTCAGAGACAGACTGAAGCTGGACAATCAAACTGGATCTCTGACCATCACACACATCACAACTGAACATGATGGACGTTATGAACTACAGATCAACAGTGAGATCAAGAGTTTCCGTGTCAATGTCGACGGTGAGTCAAATATTTCGATTGAGCTGTTTTATATTTTAATCATCATGTCTACAGCGAGTAAACCTTTTGAGTGATACGGTCTTAAATTTGGGATTTGGAATGTTCAGTGATGATGTCACATAACTGTCAGATTTAAACTGTTCATACAATTTGAACTGCGGCACAAAAAACATGGCGGCGCCCATCTCAAATTTTAAATCAAGAACATGACGCTTCGCCATGGAAACAATAAGCGGGAAACCTTCTAAAATAAATGACGCCTTCAAAAAGAAAAACAAAATTCACCCAGTCAGAATTAGTGATGGGCGATACCACTGATTTTGTTTTCGATACGATACTGATACTTTCAATGCCAGTATCGCCAATACCGGTACCAATACGATACCTCTAAACTGAACTTTTGATTTTGAAAATGTCTTAAATTATTGAATTACTAATTAATGATACCCATTAAACATTATAGAGCTCGAGAAACCCGGAAAAAAACGTGAGGGTTGACAGCTAACGTTACTAACTACACTTTTGAAACACATAAAATTGATAAAAAAAATTAAACTCTCTTTTCGTTGTTTTATGATATTATTTCAGTCACTCTAAACTCTGATAGTAATAGTATTTTACAGTCAGGATTGTGAAAAGCATGCGATGTTTGATAGAGAGCAACGCAGTGTTGACAGAACCGGATGATGTCACTTCCTGGTTCTAGTAAGAGCTCGAACTGCTGGAGTTTGTTTGGTAACGCTTTAGATTACAGCCCGCAAATACTGCGTATTTAAAACTAATTTACAATGTAACTTTCTGAAATTATAGTGTACCTACAACATGTAAAGTTTTAGGAATAAAGGAGTAATAACCTGAAGTATTAACAAATGATTTATACTGTAAGAACTAAGGGTTTATTATTCTACTATTATGAGACAACACAATCTTACACTGCAAACCTTCTTGTAATAGTATATTCCAAAACATCAACTTTATACAAATTATAGGTGTCACGGGGCGGGTTCAGGCAGAAGGAACAGGCAGAGTCCAGAAAAGCTCCAATACAAAAGGTTTAATATTAAATAAACAGGAAACAGGCAGGCGGAACACAGGGTAACATTAACAACGACCGACAACCATAGAGTAAAACAGAGGGAACTAAATACACAGAATAATCAACCATAATGGGGTGAGAACAGGTGAAACAGATGACGATGACGAGGAACAGGTGGCTGATGAGGGAGTGAACACGGGATAGGGTGACGAGAGGATCCTGGGAAGTGTAGTGCTGAAGACAAGACAGACTGGTGCAGACGGAGGACTGTGACAATAGGGTTCATATCTGCATTTATACAGTACTTTCTTTAAACAAAATTGCTCTGAGAACTAAAACTATTGCAACTTTTGCTTTAATACTGGAGAAATAAACTCTTGTTCATGTAGTTACGGAGTCAGTGTGACGTCTGCGACCTGTACATTAGTGTTGCTTGTTACTCTTTTGTTCCTTAATACTAAAACTTTCTTTTCTTTATTATTTTCTATTACATATATAAATATGGTCAATTTTTGTTATTTTTCCATGTATAAATCTTTTGTTCATCATTGTTTGTCTTTGCACTGCTGCAGAATATTATTAATTTCACATTTAAATGTTTAGAAGTATTTTAGTGAAGCTTCATCAAACCAACATCAAGAGATTTTAAAGCTTTAATCTGTGAAAAACTCTGTTCTTCAGGAGCGGTTCGCGATTTTAGGCCACTGCCAGTGTCAGTGATGGAGGGAGATTCAGTCTCTCTAAAGTCTGACACTAAAATAAAGGATGATGATGTGATTCAGTGGAGGTTTGAAGATGAAAACACTTTAATAGCAGAAATCAATAAACGGGCCGACAGAATCACTGTATATGATGATGTTCTTGATGGGAGATTCAGAGACAGACTGAAGCTGGACAATCAAACTGGATCTCTGACCATCACACACACCACAACTGAACATGATGGAGATTATAATCTACAGATCAACAGAAAGATCAGAGAGAGTTTCAGGCTCCATGTCTATGGTGAGTTTAATATCAGTTTCACCTGTTTTATATTTTAATCAGATACAATTAATAATTCAAACTCCATTTTGCTTTTGGTGTTTAATGATGATATTCATTTAAATCTAAAATTTCAAACTATTTACTTTTATAAACTATTAACTGATCATCTTAATCTGTGACAAACTCTGTTTCTGTTTATACTCTCTCTCTCTCTCTCTCTCTCTATGTGTGTGTGTGTGTGTGTGTGTGTGTGGTGATTTAGGACTGAAGTCAGTGATGGAGGGAGATTCAGTCTCTATAAACTCTCGTCTCACTGAAATAAAGGATGATGATGTGATTCAGTGGAGGTTTAGAAACACTTTAATAGCAGAAATCAATGTAACGGCCGACAGATTCACTGTATATGATGATGTTCTTGATGGGAGATTCAGAGACAGACTGAAGCTGGACAATCAAACTGGATCTCTGACCATCACAAACACCACAACTGAACATGCTGGAGATTATCATCTACGCATCAACAGTGAGATCAAGAGGTTCTTTGATCAAAGGATATTTATTCTCGCTGTCATTGGTGAGTTAAAAAAATGTTTCCACCTTTCTTTAATTACACAATAAGAGCCCGATGTGGCGTTGGTGTCACAAACACTGGTGATCATCTGAAAAGATTTTTTTTTAAGCATTATACCTCATTTTCAAACCAGGAAGTCCCTAAGGGACAATTAGGGAACACCCAGGTTCAGTCATGTGACAATGTGTGCATTTTTGTTGCCACAGTAACATTTCCAAAATGGTGGCCTGTCTGATGTGCACATGTTGCAGTGTCAGCAATTAAAAAAAACACTTGTGTTTGTAATTAAAGGTATGTTTCAACACATGCAATAATTCTAATGTTTTAATAACATAACCTAGATTCACTTGACCTGATTTTAAAACATGTCTTGTACAAATTTATATAAAACAAGTATTGAAAATGTTGTTGTGACATATGTGTCACATCGGGCTTTAACCTGTATGTGTCACATTAAGAAAAATGGTCCTGACCATTTTTTCACCAGAAAAATGACCTGCTCAAATAATTTAGCTGATACAATTATTTTAGTGTTATATATATTCTGCTGCTCAGTTCAAAGCAACAACAAACAAAAAAAAGTCAAATTAATAACATTGTTAAAGGGCAACTCAACCCCTGGTCAGAGCCTGACTCCACCCACTGGCAATATTTGAGAAATGCTGGAAAAGTGGTCAAGACGGGTCTCTCTGTAGGCAGGGGTGTGGTTAGCTTGTGCCTGCTTACATCACAGGGCACCACAACTTCCAATAGGAAAATTCAACTGCAGTAGCCACCGTTCAACCTGAAGAGGGCAGCACGTTTTTACACCATATATTGTAGAATTAAAACACTTTATACCCAAATGTCCAAATTCAATGAACAGCAATAATAAAGCCCCAGTCTTACAGATCACTAAAAAAATAAATAAAAACTAACTAAAAAAAGTTGTTTTAGGGTTTTCCGTTTAATGAAATGTATTTTTGAAAATATAATGCAACTAAAGCAGGTATGCAAGACATGGTATAAAACACCATATTTATTTTTATTCAGTTTGCACATTTTCGAGTTGTGAAAAAACAATCTAAAAAACTGTTTAAACTGTATATATACCTGAAGAGGTCACAGTTATGTGGTTTTGAAATATGTGGCAAAGCAAACAAAATGCTTTTTTTATCTTCCCAGAAAAGTTATAATTTTGAAAATGTTGTGGAAAAGAAAATAAACCGAAAAAAAAAATGTAATTTAGCAAGAAAACTGACAAAATTTATTTATTTTCCAAATGAGAAATAAAAGCTCAATGTGACATATATGTAACATAAATAAATGCCCAATGTGACATAAACTGTATATGTAACATTACAGATCTTTGACAAGGAGTGGTTGTATTTAATTAAAATGGTCCATATAGTCTGTTTTATATGCTGCCCCATAATTTTCCTAAGGGGAAATTGGTCCGGGTTCTTATGGGTTAAACGAATTCATACACCATTTTGTTTTTGTTATTTTATATTGTTTATTGTTCATGTAAATTTTAAACCATTCCCTTTAATAAATTATTATAAAGTGATTTAACAGTATTAATCTGTGATAAACCCTGTTTCTGTTTGTTCTCTGTGTGTTTGACAGATGAAGTGAAGTCAGTGTCAGTGATGGAGGGAGATTCAGTCTCTCTAAACTCTGATCTCACTGAAATAAAGCATAATGATGTGATTCTGTGGAGGTTTGAAGATGGAAAGACTTTAATAGCAGAAATCTATAAATGGGCCGACAGATTCGCTGTATATGATGATGTTCTTGATGGGAGATTCAGAGACAGACTGAAGCTGGACAAACAAACTGGATCTCTGACCATCACAAACACCACAACTGAAGATACTGGAGATTATAGACTACTGATGTTTTCAGGAGGAAGATTATTATCATCAAAAATATTCAGAGTTTCTGTCTATAGTGAGTAGAGATCATTTGTCTCCTTCAAATATTCTTATTAACAATTAACATTTTGAATTGTTGAATCGTTTATAGATTGAGATGACAGACCGTATAAAAATCTCACTTGGAACCGAATATATTATTTTTGATTAGATTTGATCATATTTCTGTGTATTCAGAAATATCAAATCAAATCAAATCCTTTTATTGTCACACAACCATATACACAAGTGCAACAGTGGGTGAAATTCTTGGGTGCAATTTCGAGCCACATGTAGCAGTCATGAAATGATGGACGTATTTACAGTTTACAGTAAACATCCGATAGATTTACACATCTAATGTAAATTACTCACCATATACATAAACAATAAACAATACACAATATACAATATACAACATACAGAATACAAACACAAAGACAGTCCGGATGGTTTCGATGGTTCTGGTGTAGAACTGTGTGGCGGTTCATCCCAAACTTCCTCAGCCGAAGAACAGGTGCTGATGAGGCTTCTTCACGATGGCCTCGGTGTGGACAACCCGGTCTCATCCCAAGACGTCATATAACTGACGTTTTGGGACGTCTTTTGACCATACTTTTTAGGGCCCCCTTAAACGTCGGTAGATGAGGTTATGGGATCCTAACTCTACCCCAGACCTAAACCTAACCCTAAACCTAACCCGTCACCTACCTGACGTTAAAGGTAAAGCGTCAGTTGTATGACGGCCCGGGATCGCCATCTAGCGACGTTTAAGGGGGCCCTAAAAAGGCGGATACTGACGTATGGTCAAAATACGTCCCAAAACGTCAGTTATATGACTTTTTGGGATGAGACTGTGTTAGTGTGGACGGACCATGTGACACTGAGGAACTTGAAACTGCTGACTCTCTCCACCGGTGCGCCATTGATGCTGATCTCTGTCGTTCCTCCTGAAGTCGACCACTAGCTCCTTGGTTTGATGATGTTGAGGGAGAGGTTGTTATCCTGACACACAATGTGTCAGAGATTAGTTATTATTAGTTAATATTAGCTGTCAGCGCTGACATTAGTGTTTATTGACTGATCTGATGTCAGTTTGATGTGTTTATTCCTCAGACTCTGTCCACTGGTGTGATCCTACTGAAGCTGTGATCCGATTGGTCCTCTCTGCTCTGGTGGGCGTGGCTACTGTCAGCATTCTGGTTTATGACATCAGATCCAGAAGAGCTGAAGGAGATCAAGCACATATTCACACATCAGGTGCATGATTGATGATGTCATTTCTCACAAACTGATTTGCCATATATATTTGTGAGGTTTATTACTTTTTGGCTTCATATTTTTTTAATCTTTTCTACTGAAATCTAAAGCAGAACGCTGAACTTTAAAGGTTCTTCAAGTGTGTTATTTGCTCTTCTGGTGTTTTTTTTTCATAATAAATACTGAATAATTGAGCTTGACGATTTTTGAGGTTTAAAAAAATCTTATGTGTAAGGCTTTATTGTTGATATTTCTCTCAGATACATAATATTAATAAAGAGACACAGATCTCACTTTAAACTGCTGTATATTTGCTGTATGTATTTTCTTGCCTTTATCAATAAAGTTTCTCACTCTGAGGTTCAAGAGTCTCTCCATGTTTTATTACGTTTATTATGTCGAGCGCCTCGTGGAGGAATACTAACTTTATGTAGATATTATTTAACAATACTGATAGGCCTACTGTTTTTCTATCTACAATAATAAACAAACAACTTCCACATGAGAAAATACTGATTTGGGACACATTATAATATACTTTGAGATTACAGTGAAATACATAAACACAACATCTCGATCCTCCATTTCCTCCGACAGGGAATGATAAAGTCTTTAAATCGCTAGTGTGATTTGTCTCTGTGGTCTCGTCTGAGGAGCAACTCCTCCATCTAGTGGCTCACCCTGAACTCACATGTTATCAGGAGTTATTCACTCAGATCCAGTGATTGTTACTCAAGAAAGCCACTAGATGGCGCTGTGTTCAGTGTTATGTGACGAATACACTGTGCAACGAGTAATGAAGAATAAAAGCACATGTTGAAGTGTTCAGAGAAAATAAACGGACATGTTGAGACACTTTATTCAAATCACTGAACAAATCAGGATATTCGGAGTGAACTATCAGGATATTTTCTCTTTTTCAGACCATTCTCTGTAAGTCAAGACACCTTTATTTATATAGCGCTTTTTACAGTACAGACTGTTTCAAATCAGCTTTACAGAGATAACAGGATAAATAATACAGCAAAGTTTGGAGAAAACCATCATTGTCCAGCTAAGTTCAGTTCTCATATAATGGTGTCAGTGCAGGCAGATCAATAATATTGTTGAGCATTTAGAGCGTCACATCCGGGTCATAATCTATAGCTGTGGAATATGAATCATGTGAAGATATCAGAGGACACTTTCATACACACAGTTATAGCAGACGATCTGTTCCTGATCCTTTAAACCATTAGAGAAACTCTGAGATCAGTCTGAGAGGAGAAACAATCCAGACATTTGATCAGAAATGAAGAACAAACGTCCTGAAGAGAGTTACAGGAGAGAGCAGAGACAAACACTCTCAGGAAATCAAGACAAGATCAAACTGTTGCTTTAAGATGTTTTTAACATGTTATTGAATGTCATCATTGACTTACAGGAAGTTGAGGCGTACAGGAGCTCAAAGTGTGAAATAATCATCAGAAATAGAGTTTGACGTCACGTGCATTAACACTTACAGGTATTTTATCTGATTGTAGAGTTTCTCTTCACTTTACTCTACAGAGCAGCTTCACATCAGCACGTCTGTCATTTTATCAGTTTTGAAGAGTTTGTCTTTTCATATTTGTGGACTGAAACCGTTGAAGATGTTTCTCCCTGTTTTGCTCTGCTTGTGTTTCTGGCGTCTGGATGGTGAGTTTAATGTGTTTTTATGACTTCCCGGTTCCGGCTGATCTAAACTATGCAGCCTAATTCGAATTTAGGAAGTCTATCAGATTTAAACTGTTCAGACAATTTGAACTGCGGCGCAAACAAACATGGGCTTGGGGCACAATTCCAGTAGTAAGAGAAGCATTAACAATGTTCAAAATGAGAGGACTGGTCGATGACAGACACTCCTTGAGAACAGAAGTTGGAACAGGATCCAGGGAACAGGTAGTGGAACTCATCGTTATAATTAATTTGGAAATATAATCAATGGAGACAGTTTGAAAACTAAGGAACCGGGTAAGCGGGCAATTTAAAGGCTGAATCTCAGGAGGTGCACAGAAAGAGACAAAAGTAATACACTGATAAATATTCTCAATTTTATCAGCAAAGAATTTCAGAAACGTATTGCACTGCTGCACGGTGGAACAGATGAGTGAATTAGTAGGTTTAAGTAGTTTGTTGATTACTTTAAACATTTTGTTTGGTTTTGCAATACCGTGATTAATGATTTGAGAGTAATATTCGGTTCTTGCTATTTTTGTCATGATCCTGGTCCCTTTCTCGGTTCTTTGTCTCCCCCTGTTGGTTATTCTGTGTTCTCGCTTTCTCCGCTGTTTCATTATCTACAGCTGCGGCTGCTTTATGCTCGTTATCCAATCATTCTTTCACACCTGCTCTCCCTTTTCTCTAATTCTGTCGGCTTCTTTTACCACTGCTTTTCTGTACCTCTTTGCCAGATTATTCTTTGAGCCAAGACGTGTTTAGTCTGTGTATGTTACCTCCCGTCCAGTCCCGTCCCGTCCAGTCCCGTCCAGTCCAGTCCAGTCCTGTCCTGTCCTGTCCAGCACTGTGCTACTGTGAGTTTGTTCCACTGCTACATTGTCGCTACTCAGCGGTGCTTGTTTCAGAGCCCCTGTCTGATGCCAGCTCACCTCCACTAGCCGAGGGATCTTCCTCCCGTGTTCGCCAGGGCTGCTGTGGTTCTTCGGTGTCTGATTTCACCTGCCGCTCTCGCTGGTCAGCCTAAGAGAGTCTCGCCTGTTACCTGCTCTGCGGGTCGACCTTTGTTGAACTTTATATTATTTGTGAACAGTCCTTACCTGTGGACATCTTTCCGTTCATTAAACTGACTTCTTGCTGCAAACGCTTTTGGGTCCTCTGTCTGTCTCTCATCATCACAATTTTAAGGGCATTGCTGTACTGAACCAAATGCTCATCATACATAAGTTTATGAACGGTGAGCTCTGATTTTTAATACTTATACTTTAAGTGTTATTATTCTACTATTTTGAGACAACACAATCTTACACTGCAAACCTTCTTGTAATAATAGTATATTCCAAAACATCGACTTTATACAAATTATAGGGTTCATATCTGCATTTATACAGTACTTTCTTTAAACAAAATTGCTCTGAGAACTAAAACTATTGCAACTTTTGCTTTAATACTGGAGAAATAAACTCTTGTTCATGTAGTTACGGAGTCAGTGTGACGTCTGCGACCTGTACATTAGTGTTGCTCGTTACTCTTTTTTTCCATTAAGTTAATAGTTAATTCCATTAGTTAATTTTTTTTCTTCTATATGTATATATATAGTATTTTTGTGTTATTTTTCCATTTATAAATGTATTTCTCTTTTCGTTCATCATTATTTGTCTTTGCACTGCTGAAGAATATTATTAATGTCACATTTAAATTATTGACTTCACCAAACCAACATCAAGTGATTTTAAAGCTTTAAACTCTGTTCTTCAGGAGCGTTGGTGAAGTCAGTGTCCGTGTTTGAGGGAGATTCAGTCTCTATAAACTCTAATCTCACTGAAATAAAGGATGATGATGTGATTCAGTGGATGTTTGGAGATGAAGACACTTTAATAGCAGAAATCAATGAACGGGCCGACAGATTCGCTGTATATGATGATGTTCTTGATGGGAGATTCAGAGACAGACTGAAGCTGGACAATCAAACTGGATCTCTGACCATCACAAACACCACAACTGAAGATGAAGGAGAATATAAACTACAGATCAACGGTGAGATCAAGAGATTCGATCTCATTGTCTTCGGTGAGTTTAATATCAGTTTCACCTGTTTTATATTTTAATCAGATACAATTCATAATTCAAACTCCATTTTGCTTTTGGTGTTTAATGATGATATTCATTTAAATTTAAAACTATTTACTTTTATAAATCATTACCTGATCATCTTAATCTGTGACAAACTCTGTTTCTGTTTGTTCTCTGACTGTGTGTGTGTGTGTGTGTGTGTTGTGTGTGTGTGTGTGTGTGTGTGTGTGTGTGTGTGTGTGTGTGTGTGTGTGTGTGTGTGTGTGTGTGTGGTGATTCAGGACTGATGTTAGTGATGGAGGGAGATTCAGTCTCTCTAAACTCTGATCACACAGAAATAAAGGATGATGATGTGATTCAGTGGAGGTTTGGAGATGAAAACACTTTAATAGCAGAAATCAATAAACGGGCCGACAGATTCACTGTATATGATGATGTTCTTGATGGGAGATTCAGAGACAGACTGAAGCTGGACAATCAAACTGGATCTCTGACCATCACAAACATCACAACTGAACATACTGGAGAATATAGACTACAGATCAACAGTGAGATCAAGAGATTCGATCTCATTGTCGTCGGTGAGTTTAATATCAGTTTCACCTGTTTTATATTTTAATCAGATATAATTCAGAATTCAAACTCCATTTTGCTTTTGGTGTTTAATGATGATATTCATTTAAATTTTAAACTATTTACTTTTATAAATCATTACCTGATCATCTTAATCTGTGACGAACTCTGTTTCTGTGTGTTCTCTGTTTGTGTGTGTGTGTGTGTGTGTGTGTGTGCACGTGGTGATTCAGGACTGGAGTCAGTGATTGAGGGAGATTCAGTCTCTCTAAACTCTGACACTGAAATAAAGGATGATGATGTGATTCAGTGGAGGTTTGAAAACACTTTAATAGCAGAAATCTATAAACAGTTCGACAGATTCACTGTATATGATGATGTTCTTGATGGGAGATTCAGAGACAGACTGAAGCTGGACAATCAAACTGGATCTCTGACCATCACAAACACCACAACTGAACATGATGGAGATTATAATCTACTGATGTATTCAGGAACATCAAAAGCATTCAGAGTTTCTGAACTTGATAAACTACAGATTAAGAGTTTTATTTTTATTCTCGCTGTCATTGGTGAGTTAAAATAACGTTTACACCCTTTTTTTAATTAAACAATTTAAATTAATTCATGCACTATTTTGTTTTTGTTATTTTTATTGTTTGTTTATTTTTAATGTAAATTTTAAACCATTCCATTTAGTAAATCATTATAAAGTGATTTAACAGTATTAATCTGTGATAAACCCTGTTTCTGTTTGTTCTCTGTGTGTTTGACAGATGAAGTGAAGTCAGTGTCAGTGATGGAGGGAGATTCAGTCTCTCTAAACTCTGATCACACAGAAATTAGGCTTGAAGATGCGATTCTGTGGAGGTTTGGAGATATAAACACTTTAATAGCAGCAATCTATAAACGGTCCGACAGATTCACTGTATATGATGATCTTGATGGGAGATTCAGAGACAGACTGAAGCTGGACAAACAAACTGGATCTCTGACCATCACAAACATCACAACTGAAGATGCTGGAGAATATAGACTAGTGAACTTTTCAGGAAGATCAAAAGTATTCAGAGTTTCTGTCTATAGTGAGTAGAGATCATTTGTCTTCTCTTTCAAATATTCTTATTTATTTGCCTCTTGAATTGTTGAATCGTCTGTAGTTTGAGATGACAGACCATATAAAAAAACTCACTTGCAATAGAATAGATTGTTGATTAGATTTGATCATATTTCTGTGTATTCATAAATATTAGTTGATGTCAGCGCTGATATTAGTGTTTATTGACTGATCTGATGTCAGTTTGATGTGTTTATTCCTCAGACTCTGTCCACTGGTGTGGTCCTACTGAAGCTGTGATCTGATTGGTCCTCTCTGCTCTGGTGGGCGTGGCTACTGTCATCATTCTGGTTTATGACGTCAGATCCAGAAGAGCTGAATGAGATCAAGCACATATTCACACATCAGATGCATGATTGATGATGTCATTTCTCACAAACTGATTTGCCATATAAATGTGTGAGGTTTATTAATTTTTGGCTTTATATTTTTTTATCTTTTCTACTGAAATCTAAAGCAGAACGCTGAACTTTAAAGGTTCTTCAAGTGTGTTATTTGCTCTTCTACTGTTTTTTTCATAATAAATACTGAATAATTGAGCTTGATGATTTTTGAGGTTTAAAAAACATCTTATTTGTAATGCTTTATTGTTTATATTTCTCTCAGATACATAATAAAAATAATAATAAAGAGACACAGATCTCACTTTAAACTGCTGTATATTTGCTGTATGTATTTTCTTGCCTTTATCACTAAAGTTTCTCACTCTGAGGTTCAAGAGTCTCTCCATGTTTTATTACATTTATTATGTCGAGCGCCTCGTGGAGGAATACTAACTTTATGTAGATATTATTTAACAATACTGATAGGACTACTGTTTTTCTATCTACAATAATAAACAAACAACTTCCACCTGAGAAAATACTGATTTGGGACACATTATAATATACTTTGAGATCACAGTGAAATACATAAACACAACATATCGATCCTCCATTTCCTCCGACAGGGAATGATAAAGTCTTTAAATCGCTAGTGTGATTTGTCTCTGTGGTCTCGTCTGAGGAGCAACTCCTCCATCTAGTGGCTCACCCTGAACTCACATGTTATCAGGAGTTATTCACTCAGATCCAGTGATTGTTACTCAAGAAAGCCACTAGATGGCGCTGTGTTCAGTGTTATGTGACGAATACACTGTGCAACGAGTAATGAAGAATAAAAGCACATGTTGAAGTGTTCAGAGAAAATAAACGGACATGTTGAGACACTTTATTCAAATCACTGAACAAATCATGATATTCGGTGTGAACTATCGGGATATTTTCTCTTTTTCAGACCATTCTCTGTAAGTCAAGACACCTTTATTTATATAGCGCTGTTTCAAATCAGCTTTACAGAGATAACAGGAAAATAATACGGCAAAGTTTGGAGAAAACCATGATGTCATTGTCCAGCTAAGTTCAGTTCTCATATAATGGTGTCAGTGCAGGCAGATCAATAATATTGTTGAATATTAAATAGCCAATGGTAAAAAAGACCAAAATCCATCAGTGACAGAATGGAGAAAACCTTGTGAGAAACCAGACAGACGCTGCGTTCATGTGCTATATGGTAATTATGGTAAATACCAAAAGCAGACGTGGAAAATGCACATGAACACCCCCTCATGTGGTACTTTCTACTGGGCAACTCGTAGAATATTTTGATGGATGAGTTGCCGAGATGAGATAACCTTTGAACTTTTCAAAATGGCGGAGAGCAACGCAAGAGTCGTGAATAGTAATAATATACTATTCATGATCTAGAAAATATATAGCATATTACTTACCTTTTGAGTTTTGATAAATCATTGTCTTGCTGTTGCAGATGACTTAAGCAATCTAAAATAGTTCTAGCTAAATAACAGGTCTGGATCTCCATCTTTTTACCCCATCATTACGACAACAAAAGCACTTGAACGCAACACACTGGTAAATACCAATTCACAAGTGGAAATATCCTACTTTCCATAGCACGTGAACGCAGCATCAGTCCGAGGGCAGTTCTCCTCAGCCAATGAACAAACAGTGTGTGATTATGATTCAGGCAACATTATAGGCCAGAAGTCAGATTGGATCAGAACATTCAGAATATTATCCAGTTCATCTGGTTGAAGATCGGAGTCACGCTGGTCTGGAGCTCGAGTTTGTTGAGGATCAGTGTCGGCTGTCGTGTCGATGAGGGGAGAGTCTAGTTCACACAATCTCTGCTGACTCTTCAGGGATGCGTTGTGGTCGTGTCTAGGCTCAGGTCCACCATCTGATCTGGATACGGCCCGGATCCGGTAGATTACAGTAAATCTTTCGGCGGATCTAAACTATGCAGCCTAACATTGAGTTATAGAAGTCTATAATGTGTTTGCTAAGCCAAAGAGATGTGTTTTTACTCTACATTTACAGTAAACTGACAGACTGTGTCTGATTCCCAGAGTCGGACAATGCTGTGAAGACTTCCAGAGTTTAAAGAGAGGAAAAGGATCTTCCACCAGCAGCCGATTTTGATATTTTAAGATTGCAATAGATGTGAAGGACTATAATGCGTATATAATGTGTATTTATGGTTGTGTGTGAAAATCCCAGTAAATTGGCAGTTTCAGAAAAACTCAGACCAGTCCGAAGTCGCCCCCTACACTCTTAGAAGAAAAGGTTCTATATAGAACTTTAAAGGTTCTATCAGCGCTACGTATTTGGAACCCCTAAAAGGTTCTATACACTCTTAAAAAAAGGGTTCCTCTGGGTTCTATATAGAACCATTTTGGAGTTCCATATATGAAGCGGGGGATGGAACCATTTCTGGTTCTAAATAGAACCATTTCTTCTAAGAGTGTAGGTGGCACTATTTGAGGGAACAGTACGGTGTACATTTTAGGACATCCTCAGATCTCAGTCATATGACAAAAAGGCATGGGGCGAAACGTCAGCTCTTTTACTCACTCTTCATGAGTTCAGTTCTTGGAGAGTTGGGGAGGGGTGCGCCAGTGATTCTCTCAGCAGTCCGGACTATATCCGCTGTAGTCTTCTGAGGTCTGATTTGGTAGCTGAGATGATCCAGACAGTTATAGAAGTGCAGCGGATGCGTTCAGTGACGGCAGAGTAGAGCTGTATCAGCAGATCCTGTGGGAAGTTGAACTTCTTCAGCTGGCGAGGGAAAGTACAGTCTCTGCTGGGCCTTTTTTACAATGGAGTCAATGTGAGTGTCCCACTTCTTAAATAAGTGCTCTTGATGACCACTAGAGGAGTCTTCCCGTTTCCCACAATCACTGTGGCATTTTATTAGTCATAGAATTTTGCTCTTAACTCAGTTATTAGTGATAATTAAATAAAATAATGTAAAATAAATAGGCTTATGAAGCTCAAATACCCAACAGCATTAGTTTGAGTTATGTGGGCGTTTTAGAGAACCATTAGAGAAACTCTGAGATCAGTCTGAGAGGAGAAACAATCCAGACATTTGATCAGAAATGAAGAACAAACGTCCTGAAGAGAGTTACAGGAGAGAGCAGAGACAAACACTCTCAGGAAATCAAGACAAGATCAAACTGTTGCTTTAAGATGTTTTTAACATGTTATTGAATGTCATCATTGACTTACAGGAAGTTGAGGCGTACAGGAGCTCAAAGTGTGAAATAATCATCAGAAACAGAGTTAGACGTCACATGCATTAACACTTACAGGTATTTTATCTGATTGTAGAGTTTCTCTTCACTTTACTCTACAGAGCAGCTTCACATCAGCACGTCTGTCATTTTATCAGTTTTGAAGAGTTTGTCTTTTCATATTTGTGGATTGAAACTGATGAAGATGTTTCTCCCTGTTTTGCTCTGCTTGTGTTTCTGGCGTCTGGATGGTGAGTTTAATGTGTTTTTATGACTTCAGTTGTTTCTGTTCTGGTAACATGTAATAAATGTCTGGTTAGTTTAAACTTTAGTCAAGGAGGATCAACATTCACTGTTATTCTCATATAGAAATAATTAAACTGTGATTTTACTGTCAGATCAAGTTTGAATTCAGCTCTAAACTCAGTTATTATGGATTGAGTGTAAATATGAAGTTCAGATAATCAACAGCATTAGTTTTGGTGACGTTAAACATTACAGTAAAAGTGTATTTTTATATTATACCATATATATATATTTCTCTTTTCATTCATCATCTTTTATCTTTGCACTGCTGCAGAATATTATTAATTTCACATTTAAATGATTAAAAGTATTTTAGTGAAGCTTCATCAAACCAAAAACAAGAGATTTTAAAGCTTTAATCTGTGAAAAATGAATCTGTGTTCTTCAGGAGCGGTTGCTGAGTCAGTATTTGAGGGAGATTCAGTCTCTCTAGACTCTGGACTCTCTAAAATAAAGGATGATGATGAGATTCAGTGGAGGTTTGGGGATGGAAAGACTTTAATAGCAGAAATCGATAAACGGATCAACAGATTCACTGTATATGATGATGTTCTTGATGGGAGATTCAGAGACAGACTGAAGCTGGACAATCAAACTGGATCTCTGACCATCACAAACACCACAACTGAACATGAAGGACGTTATAGACTAGTGATGTCTTCAGGAAGAAGAGTATCTTCAAAAGGATTCAGAGTTTCTGTCTATGGTGAGTGGAGATCAATTTTATTCTCTTTCAAATATTCTTATTTACTATTTATATATATTTACTATAATATAATGTAGTAACAGGCAATTATAATAATTAAATCAAATATAAAAGATTTTTTATCACCATCAAATGAAAAATATTTTAGTATAACATCAACTTCTTCACAGTTAACAGGAATCGCAGCTTTTCTTTGTAAATAATACTGAGTTCTCTGAATATTTGGGTCTCGGGACTCTTCTAAAATAGATGATTTTACAGGATGATTTCTTTGTCTCAGAGGAAACTTCACAAAAAACACAAATACTATTTACATATTGAATTGTTGAATCATTTATAATTTGAGATGACAGACCGTATAAAAATCTCACTTGGAACCGAATATAAGATTGTTGATTAGATTTGATCGTGTTTCTGTGTATTCATAAATATTAGTTGATGTCAGCGCTGATATTAGTGTTTATTGACTGATCTGATGTCAGTTTGATGTGTTTATTCCTCAGACTCTGTCCACTGGTGCGGTCCAACTGAAGCTGTGATCTGATTGGTCCTCTCTGCTCTGGTGGGCGTGGCTACTGTCATCATTCTGGTTTATGACATCAGATCCAGAAGAGCTGAAGGAGATCAAGCACATATTCACACATCAGGTGCATGATTGATGATGTCATTTCTCATATAACTGATTTTGCATATATAAATGTATGTCACATATATTAATGGCTTTATATGGTAATCTTTTCATTACTCGTTGCACAGTGTATTCGTCACATAACACTGAACACAGCGCCATCTAGTGGCTTTCTTGAGTAACAATCACTGGATCTGAGTGAATAACTCCTGATAACATGTGAGTTCAGGGTGAGCCACTAGATGGAGGAGTTGCTCCTCAGACGAGACCACAGAGACAAATCACACTAGCGATTTAAAGACTTTATCATTCCCTGTCGGAGGAAATGGAGGATCGATATGTTGTGTTTATGTATTTCACTGTGATCTCAAAGTATATTATAATGTGTCCCAAATCAGTATTTTCTCATGTGGAAGTTATTATTGTAGATAGAAAAACAGTAGCCTCAGTATTGTTAAATAATATCTACATAAAGTTAGTATTCCTCCACGAGGCGCTCGACATAATAAATGTAATAAAACATGGAGAAACTCTTGAACCTCAGAGTGAGAAACTTTATTGATAAAGGCAAGAAAATACATACAGCAAATATACAGCAGTTTAAAGTCAGATCTGTGTCTCTTTATTAATTTTTTTGTATCTGAAAGAAATATTAACAATAAAGCCTCAAAAATAAGATTTTTTTTAAACCTCAAAAATCGTCAAGCTCAATTATTCAGTATTTATTATGAAAAAAAAAAAAAACACTAGAAGAGCAAATAACACACTTGAAGAACCTTTAAAGTTCAGCGTTCTGCTTTAGATTTCGATACTTCCTGAAAAAAGGTAAACATAAAAAGCCACATTAATAAATCTCATAGATACTTATATGCAAATCAGTTTGTGAGAAATGACATCATCAATCATGCACCTGATGTGTGAATATGTGCTTGATCTTGTTCAGCTCTTCTGGATCTGATGTCATAAACCAGAATGATGACAGTAGCCACGCCCACCAGAGCAGAGAGGACCAATCGGATCACAGCTTCATTAGGACCACAACAGTGGACAGAGTCTGAGGAATAAACACATCAAACTGACATCAGATCAGTCAATAAACACTAATATCAGCGCTGACATCAGCTAATATTTATGAATACACAGAAATATGATCAAATCTAATCAACAATCTATTCTATTGCAAGTGAGATTTTTTATATGGTCTGTCATCTCAAACTATAGACGATTTAACATTTCGATATGTAAATAGTAAATAAGAATATTTGAAAGAGAAGAAAAATGATCTCTACTCACTATAGACAGAAACCCTGAATGCTTTTGATGATAATCTTCTTCCTTTAATCTTCACTAGTTTATAATCTCCAGCATGTTCAGTTGTGGTGTTTGTGATGGTCAGAGATCCAGTTTGATTGTCCAGCTTCAGTCTGTCTCTGAATCTCCCATCAAGAACATCATCATATACAGTGAATCTGTCGGCCCGTTTATTGATTTCTGCTATTAAAGTTTTTCCAAACCTCCACTGAATCCGATAATAATTCTCCATTTCAGTGAGATTAGAGTTTAGAGAGACTGAATCTCCCTCCATCACTGACACTGACTTCACTTCATCTGTCAAACACACAGAGAACAAACAGAAACAGGGTTTATCACAGATTAATACTGTTAAATCACTTTATAATGGTTTACTAAATTGAATGGTTTAAAATGTAAATTAAAAATTAACAATATAAAATCAGAAAAACAAAATGGTGTATGAATTAATTTAAATTTAAAAAACAGGTGGAAACCATTTTGAACTCACCAATGACAGCGAGAAAGAATCTCTTTCTCTCAGTGAACATCTGTCTCTCATGGCCAATCTCTAGCATATAAAATGCAGTGTGTTCAGTTGTGGTGTTTGTGATGGTCAGAGATCCAGTTTGATTGTCCAGCTTCAGTCTGTCTCTGAATCTCCCATCAAGAACATCATCATATACAGTGAATCTGTCGGCCCGTTTATTGATTTTAGCTATTAAAGTGTTTCTAAACTTCCATTGAATCACATCATCATCCTTTATTTCAATGTCAGAGTTTAGAGAGACTGAATCTCCCTCCATCACTGACTCCAGGACTGAATCACCAAACACACACACACACACACACACACACACACACACACGCGCGCGCACACACACACACACACACACACACACAACAACAACAACAACAACAACAACAAATAGAAAACAGGGTTCATCACAAATTAAAACGATCACTTGATGGTTTAGTAAGAAAATTACATTTGAGAATATCATCATTAAACTCCAAAAGCAAAAAGAGTTTGAATTATTAATGGTATATTTGTGGTGATTAAAATATAAAACAAGTGAAATAATATTTGGCTCACCGAAGACAATGAGATAGAAACTCTCTCTGATCTCACTGTTGATCTGTAGTTTATAATCTCCTTCATGTTCAGTTGTGGTGTTTGTGATGGTCAGAGATCCAGTTTGTTTGTCCAGCTTCAGTCTGTCTCTGAATCTCCCATCAAGAACATCATCATATACAGTGAATCTGTCGGCCCGTTTATAGATTTCTGCTATTAAAGTGTTTATATCTGTAAAGGGGTTTCCATCTCCAAACCGCCACTGAATCACATCATCATCCTTTATTTCAGTGAGACGAGACTTTAGAGAGACTGAATCTCCCTCAAACACTGACACAAACTCATCAGCAAACCCTCCTGAAGAACAGAGTTTTTCACAGATTAAATCTTTAAATTTATACACTGATGTTGGTTTGATGAAGCTTCACTAAAATACTTTTAATTATTATTAAATTAACAATATTCTGCAGCAGTACAATGACAAAATACGATGAATGAAAAGAGAAATATATATATACATATATATATGGTATAATATAAAAATACACTTTTACTTTAATGTTTAACGTCACACTAAAACTAAAACTGTTGATTATCTGAACTTTATATTTATATTATTTTAATCAATCCATAATAACTGAGTTTAGAGCTGAATTCAAACTTGATCTGACAGTAAAATCATAGTTTAATTATTTCTATATGAGAATAACAGTGAATGTTGATCCTCCTCGACTAAACTAACCAGACATTTATTACATGTTACCAGAACAGAAACAACTGAAGTCATAAAAACACATTAAACTCACCAACCAGACGCCAGAAACACAAGCAGAGCAAAACAGGGAGAAACATCTTCAACGGTTTCAGTCCACAAATATGAAAAGACAAACTCTTCAAAACTGATAAAATGACAGACGTGCTGATGTGAAGCTGCTCTGTAGAGTAAAGTGGAGAGAAACTCTACAATCAGTTGAAATAACTGCATACCTATAAGTGTTAATGCATGTGACCGTCTAGCTGTATTGTGTATGATTATTTCACACTTTGATCATTTTCACTTTGAGCTCCAGTACGCCTCAACTTCCTGTCAGTCAACAGTGTGACATTCAACAGAAAAACACTGACCTATGACATGTTAAAAACATCTTGAAGCAACAGTTTGATCTCGTCTTGATTTCCTGAGAGTGTTTGTCTCTGCTCTCTCCTGTAACTCTCTTCAGGACGTTTGTTCTTCATTTCTGATCAAATGTCTGGATTGTTTCTCCTCTCAGACTGATCTCAGAGTTTCTCTAATGGTTTAAAGGATCAGGAACAGATCGTCTGCTATAACTGTGTGTATGAAAGTGTCCTCTGATATCTTCACATGATTCATATTCCACAGCTATAGATTATGGCCCGGATGTGACGCTCTAAATGCTCACTTTGTTCAGAGTGCAAATGAGACGTGCAAATAAAGTCGACAGAAGCTGTTTATAGAGGAACTATTCAGAAAAGCTGAATCCAGTTTTCAGCCAAAGACCTGCATCTGTGTGGAAAGGCCTGAAAGACATTACTAACTACAAGATCACGTCCTCCAGCACTGTGGAGAATCAACAACTGGACGAAGATTTGAATAAGTTTTATTGCAGGTTTGAAAAACCCAGTCTCCAGACTGATCTCATGAAGTAGCGTGTGTATGACACGCCAATTCATATTTCCATTTTTGGCGTGCTATCAAGACGCATAATCGCCTTTCAGCGTGTTGATGAACGCCATTGACTTAACGTTATATAACCATATGACTTACCTCAACCCCGTCCCTAAATCTAACCATCACTGGGGTTAATGGCATTTATGACTGTTCCCTTACCATCCTAGGAAAGAAAAAGATATGATTTACCTCAACCCCATCCCTAAACTTAACCGTCACTGGGGTTAATGGCATTTATGACTGGAGATTTGACTGCGTGTACGGACACGCGGAATGACGCGGACGTTAATGGCGTAAACATATACGCATACACGCGGATACACGCGGATAGCACAAAATGCGTAGAGATAACACGCCACCTGGCGCGAAAGTGGCGTATATGTTTACGCAAAAGTCATGATGTCATGTTGCAGTCTCACACCCTCTCTGACGTTCTCTTCATACACCCATCAACATCTACATCACTGACTGAATGACTACTGACCTGTTGCCTTAACATCTGTGGTCATGAGTTCATTTGAAAGACTGGTGGTGGTCCACCTCACTGGACCCTTGCTGGACAGTTTGGTTATCGAGCAAACAGGTCTGTGGATGATACCGTCAACTTAGGACTGCATTATATCCTACAACATCTGGACAAACCAGGGACTCCTGGCCTTCAATGTACACCGTACTGTTCCCTCAATAGTGCCACATACACTCTTAGAAGAAATGGTTCAATTTAGAACCAGAAATGGTTCCATCCCCCGCTTCATATATGGAACTCCAAAATGGTTCTATATAGAACCCAGAGGAACCCTTTTTTTAAGAGTGTATAGAACCTTTTAGGGGTTCCAAATACGTAGCGCTGATAGAACCTTTAAAGTTCTATATAGAACCTTTTCTTCTAAGAGTGTAGAGAATAAAGCACATGTTGAAGTGTTCAGAGAAAATAAACGGACATGTTGAGACACTTTATTCAAATCACTGAACAAATCATGATATTCGGAGTGAACTATCAGGATATTTTCTCTTTTTCAGACCATTCTCTGTAAGTCAAGACACCTTTATTTATATAGCGCTTTTTACAGTACAGACTGTTTCAAATCAGCTTTACAGAGATAACAGGGAAATAATACAGCAAAGTTTGGAGAAAACCATGATGTCATTGTCCAGCTAAGTTCAGTTCTCATATAATGGTGTCAATGCAGATCAATAATATTGTTGAATATTAAATAGCCAATGGTGAAAAAGACCAAAATCCATCAGTGACAGAATGGAGAAAACCTTGTGAGAAACCAGACTCAGTCGGGGCCAGTTCTCCTCAGCCAATGAACAAACAGTGTATGATTATTATTCAGGCAACATTATAGGCCAGAAGTCAGATTGGATCAGAACATTCAGAATATTCTCCAGTTCATCTGGTTGAAGATCGGAGTCACGCTGGTCTGGAGCTCGAGTTTGTTGAGGATCAGTGTCGGCTGTCGTGTCGATGAGGGGAGAGTCTAGTTCACACAATCTCTGCTGACTCTTCAGGGATGCGTTGTGGTCGTGTCTAGGCTCAGGTCCACCATCTGATCTGGATACGGCCCGGATCCGGTAGATTACAGTAAATCTTTCGGCGGATCTAAACTATGCAGCCTAACATTGAGTTATAGAAGTCTATAATGTGTTTGCTAAGCCAAAGAGATGTGTTTTTACTCTAGATTTACAGTAAACTGACAGACTGTGTCTGCTTCCCGGAGTCGGACAATGCTATGAAGACTTCCAGAGTTTAAAGAGAGGAAAAGGATCTTCCACCAGCAGCCGATTTTGATATTTTAAGATTGCAATAGATGTGAAGGACTATAATGCGTATATAATGTGTATTTATGGTTGTGTGTGAAAATCCCAGTAAATTGGCAGTTTCAGAAAAACTCAGACCAGTTCGAAGTCGCCCTCTACACTCTTAGAAGAAAAGGTTCTATATAGAACTTTAAAGGTTCTGTCAGCACTACGTGTTTGGAACCCCTAAAAGGTTTTATACACTCTTAAAAAAAGGTTCCTCTGGGTTCTATATAGAACCATTTTGGAGTTCCATGTATGAAGCGGGGGATGGAACCATTTCTGGTTCTAAATAGAACCATTTCTTCTAAGAGTGTATGTGGCACTATTGAGGGAACTGTACGATGTACATTGAAGGCCAGGAGTCCCTGGTTTGTCCAGATGTTGTAGGATATAATGCAGTCCCAAGTTGACGGTATCATCCACAGACCTGTTTGCTCGATAACCAAACTGTCCAGCAAGGGTCCAGTGAGGTGGACCACCACCAGTCTTTCAAATGAACTCAAGACCACAGATGTTAAGGCAACAGGTCAGTAGTCATTCAGTCAGTGATGTTGATGTAGATGTTGATGGGTGTATGGAGAGAAGGTCAGAGAGGGTGTCAGACTGGGTTTTTCAAACCTGCAATAAAACTTGTTCAAATCTTCGTCCAGTTGTTGATTCTCCACAGTGCTGGAGGATGTGATCTTGTAGTTAGTAATGTCTTTCAGGCCTTTCCACACAGATGCAGGTCTTTGGCTGAAAACTGGATTCAGCTTTTCTGAATAGTTCCTCTATAAACAGCTTCTGTCGACTTTATTTGCACGTCTCATTTGCACTCTGAACAAAGTGAGCATTTAGAGCGTCACATCCGGGTCATAATCTATAGCTGTGGAATATGAATCATGTGAAGATATCAGAGGACACTTTCATACACACAGTTATAGCAGACGATCTGTTCCTGATCCTTTAAACCATTAGAGAAACTCTGAGATCAGTCTGAGAGGAGAAACAATCCAGACATTTGATCAGAAATGAAGAACAAACGTCCTGAAGAGAGTTACAGGAGAGAGCAGAGACAAACACTCTCAGGAAATCAAGACGAGATCAAACTGTTGCTTTAAGATGTTTTTAACATGTTATTGAATGTCATCATTGACTTACAGGATGTTGAGGCGTACAGGAGCTCAAAGTGTGAAATAATCATCAGAAATAGAGTTTGACGTCACATGCATTAACACTTATAGATATTTTATCTGATTGTA